CTATCTACAGGTCCCCCCAACACATTCAAACCAGAGTCAGCCCATTCCCGGCCGAGCGAGTCCATAGTCAGTAGACCCAATTACCCGGTCAATGACCCTGTGACCTACTTTAGGGGTCCATGAGACCTACTTTAGGGGAGCCTCTGGCCAAGAGGTGCATGTTGCTAGAACTACCCTCAACAACCAAGGTATTAGACCTCCTGCCACAACTAGGAATTGACACTTATCATAAGTGGACGAGCCACCCAGAAAATGAGGTCCATCCCTTGTCCAACTAACAGTCGCACCACTCAGACGAACCTAACCTTGAGAACCGAGGGGAAACCAGGAAACCAGAGGTCTAGGGCTTCTAGACATCATAGCACTAATGGTGGTAACTTCAGCCTAGACCAGCCATAGGTCAAGGCGGCCAGTGTACGGCTGACCCACAGGAGAACCCCTTAGTCCAAGTCCTTGCCCAAGCTCTAGCAAGTCAAGGTTATGAAATCCAACCCAAGCGTCAAGGTTCGAACCAAGCTCCACTAGGAACCCAGATTGGCCCACACATAGGTCTGCCCTAGAGATTGTTCAGCCAGTCCTTGGTGGCCCAACCAGTCCAATCGATCCAGTACGTCTATCAACCTATAGAGGCCCTTGTAAGTCCGCTCGTGTGTCGAGCCCACTAGTTTGCTCAGTTTTATAAACTTGTAGCGTAGGCTTAAATGTTCACCCCCGTTAATCAGGTCCCTGAAGATATAGCTCTAGTTCCAATAACCAAGCTGGCTAGTATGAAAGGACAAATGAAGGTGTTGATCGGTACCCTAGCTAGGTTGGGGTGCATGATGCCCTCCCTCAAAACTGTACTATAATTAAGATAGAAGGGGCACCTAGCTCTTGAAAGAAAAACTATTGGAACTGTGTACCATTAACAGACACACCCATATGCATGTGTCCTTCCTTCAAGGGCACCTCGTCATAACTAAGTCATACCTATAAGGGTTGTAGACATACCAAGGTTGTGAACTCCTTTCAAGTTTTCTTAGCCTGCCGATTAGGTCTACCCTTATTTTTCCATAGAAACATAGGTCAAATCTTTCTAACCCTTTTTAAATGGTGTGTTAGTTGCCTTTTGATTAGATTTTTCAAAACCTTTAGCATTTGGGCCTGGGCTATGTCCACTCAACCTCTGCCTATGGGCGACTTAAGGATGGATTTAGTGTACAGAGGGAAGTGTACACTAGCGGTGATGTATGCATACAACTGTTCATAAAAATTGATCAAATTGTTTACTGCTAGGCCTATATCATTCTGTTTTCTTCAGCCGAATCGATCTATCATCAATTGATTTGGATCAAAAATTATGATTTAGGGATTTATTCATCGAGTTCTTTGGAAAAAATAGATATTTTTTTAACCAATCCACCTAAACATGTATTTCTCTTTCATTTTTCATTCAAATCCATTGAAACCTCGAACGATTTGTTCTCGATTCCACCCCTACAACATTCTTATTCTTATATGTTGGATCAGAGGCTAGAGCTTAAGAGATCTGGCATGGAAAATATCAGTTCTAGTGAGGAATTAGTTCTTTAGAATAAACTCTTACATGCCTGCCATTCCATCAATTTTTCCCTCATTTTTTCCCCAAATCTATTGAAACTTGGCTCCATTTGATCGTGATTCAACCCTCTTCAATCCATATTGCTTCGTTTGATTAATGCTAGAAAATGAGATCCTTGGCATGGAAGTTTGCAGTGTTTTCCATATCCTATGATTTTTTAGGGCCAACAAATCTCTTTTTTGCGAAAATATCTTATTTTCTATTAATATCAATGTTCCTGATTTTTTTTAGCATTTTTCCCAATTTCTGGTTTTTCTCCGGCATAAAAGCTCAACTTGGTAACTAAGAAAACAAGAGAAAATGACCTGTTTTTTCAATTACTATATTTTCTCCTGTTCGGGAAGGGGGAAAATCGTGGAAACGGGGAGCCCTGCATTTCTTTGCGTTTCCGTGCTTTTCCCCATTTTTGGGAAAACTGCAGCACACTGTAGCCCTGCATTTCTTTACGTTTCCATGCTTTTCCCCATTTTTGCCAAGGGCTATACTGCCGATTTCTCAGGAAAATGGGGAAACACGAAATTGCCTTGTCCCCCTTTTATTTCTCTAACCTCATGATCTCTCTCCCCTCTCAATCTCTCTTTGCCCCAAGCTCTAGCCCAAGCTTGCTCAGGTTTTCACATAACGGTCACCAAACAAGGGTTGTCAACTTCCACCCAGAGTTTTCTACTTCTACCTTTTTTTCAGGCTTGTAATTTCTCAGCGATACCAAACATTACCCAAAATGATATGGGTTTTGATTCCCAAGAAACTCATCTTGAGCTAGTGGCAAGTAGATGGACTGAGTCAATTTCTAAAACACGCATGCATGTATATAAAGCCGATCCTATCCTGATTATCACCAGAAATAGGCCCAAGCCAGACCGGGCTGGTCTTGATCTAATTTTTGCACTAGGCTTAGGTGAGTAACACAATTAGAGAGGGTCCCGAGCCAAATGTTGCAATTGATTTTTGAGCCACCCCAGCTTTAGCCTAGAAAAAGAATTCAAGCCGGGTTTTGACTAGATTTGGCAAGCTCGGTCCCTTGACAGTCCCAAGTCCAAAGCATTGCCCAACGAATATGAATGCACGTAAGCAGAATTCTGGGCAAGCAGGAGTGCTTGATATATGCAGAATTTACTTCTATGTTTTGTCACAGTTTTAAAAAAATTTGGTCTAAGCATGCGCATTTTGGCATTTTAATCCAACGGGCTATGATTTGTCATAGTCCATTGAAACATAGTGTAAATTCCTATTGGTGGAGCTCCGTGTCTCTCTCTCTACTGCTCATCATTTTGTTTGACCATGATAACCTTGATAGATCATTGCTTGCCGTAGTTCCTAGGATTATACAGTCTGCTTGGGTCGTTATTTAACTAGGCCTAAACGTGCACGACTCCATGTATTTACCAGCAAATTGAGCCCATTGTTTGTAATTTTAACACTCATTTGCTCAGGTTCTAAATCAATTTCCATGTCTTTCTGCGGGAGCAGAGGATGTTTTGCATAGATGCAGTCTGTGTGTTCATGATCAAGGAAATGTCGGTAAAAAACTCGATACGTGAGGATGCGTATATGCAGAAACAAGTTGTACTTGCATATAAAAGTATGGTTGCTCGCACCTGCTGTGCATAATGCACACATGATATGCTACTCTTTTTTTTTTTTTGACGAATGTTATGTGTGACTATTTCATTAGCTATGAGGTAACTACCATGCTAAAAACTTCTATTAGTGTCTGTATACAACTGACTCTTGTGCCTGCCCCCTTGTTTAACCAAGGTTAAGCCTCCTCATCTTTCTCATTAGAGAGATCATGGATTTCATTCAACATCAAGGATGAAGGGCACCTTTATTCTCCCAAGCACTATTTAATGGCATTCATTGATTCACCTTCAACCACCACATGGTGATGCTTATTATCTATTAGCTTTATAACCCGCAATTATGCCTCATTTGCCGAAGCTTGCCACATTGGCCCAGAGAAAGTAAACGGAATCTTTCCACTGTTATATTTGCGAAGAGCCCCAACTCCTGCTAAGTTGGGGTTCCCAAACTTCCATCAAAGTTCGATTTAACGATCCATATGAATTGAGGCCCCATCTACCTGTGAGCTTGATTCTCTATTTCAATTGTTCTATCGGCAAAGCTTATTTGGTCTTCATTGACACTGCAATGTTCAACCTTATATCCCAAGACATAACTTTCCTTAAACCTAGAAACCGCAGAAGTCCAACTCATTTGGCATTACTAAATTGAAGTTTTAGTCCCATCCCTGATATTTTTTGTGACTAACAGGTACATGCCAAAATCAACTCCCTTACAAACATAAGATGCGCAAGAATTCACACTCAAACTTTCTTACGAGGAAACCGTCCCGATCCAAACCATATCTTATATATAAGCGCATTCTTTTATAGCTGGTTGCTCCGACACAAACTACCACCACTTCATCAAAAGTGCCTCATTCATGGACTTCAATTTTCTAATTCATCTACTCTTCGGTTTCGGAAGGGACGACAAACTCCAATAAACTAGATGGAATTACCTTCTTCAAACCCACTCCATAAAAATTAATCAATCTTTTATGGCTTCTTGATGATAATGCTTGAAAATCTGAACAAAGAGGAATAGTAGACAAGCAAATTTGATAAAGCGGCCTTTTTTTTTTTTTTGAGGTGAGTCAGTGGGAAGAAGGCCCTACGCTTTTGTAGAAATTGAGCCTAAGACGTAACGTTGCAAGTCGTCAAGCACTAACTAATTAAGCCCAAGCTTGCTTTGAGTTAGGTAATCTTGCTTACCAAAGAGACATCTTTCCATGTATTGGAATCTCTTTACCACAGGGTCCCACAGAGCCCTTGATGGTCTACCCTCTACCAAAGGCATACCAAGTTGCTTAAGAATGCACTTTCTCTGTAAACTTTGTGTAGCAGGCAGAGCAGGGAGACTAAATACATCGAAGTAGTTTTGCCCGTAATTTTCCAACCATCCAATAATGATGGTAACTGGCTACGAGTGTCGGCTAAATACATCATAAGCACTGGACTGTTGCTTATGATGTAGCTCATACGCATGCATTGTGTTTGTGGGTGCATGTTTGCATTGCATTCAAGAACCGGTTTTGTGCTCTATAAATTTTTCTTTTTTATACCGTAAAAGCGTCCACATGTGTTGAAGTATCTATATGCAATACTTCAACAAGAATAAATTCCAAGCCAGCAAAGCAGACAGGTATAAATACATCAAGTGAAAGACATAAATACGTGCTTTTGGCCACAATCTCCTGGGAATCGGCCGTGAATGTGGCATTTGGAGAGCCACCAGCCATAATGCCCTGGACTCAGGTATGCCCGAGATTAGCGCACTTACTTTTTTTGAGGGTGTAAGTGTAAAATAGATGCATCGATGCATAACCAACTATGTATGCAGAAAGAGAGAATTTCCAGTCAAAGAAACACCATGTAGCACTAAATACATCAACATGTCACAATATAGATATATTATGTTGGAAAGGCCCAAAATATTTCACGTATGTTATGTACAGAAACCAAGCGAGAGCCTGGAGCCGATGAAACTCCACTTTTGCGATCAGATCCAGCTAGAGAGAAACCAATTTTCAAGCTACTTCATCTGTTGCTTCGAGGGGTTCCAAGGTCACCGACTGGGTTCGGCTCTGAGCCAGCAAAAGATTTTTCATCTCTCTATAGGTTTGAAGCTCATCTAAAGCCTCTGAAGTCTTTCTCGAGGTAAAGAAGCTCGAGCCCCCGCCAGTCCCACTGAAAGTCCCAGTGCCAGAGTCAGTTCTCGAAGAATGAGAGAAGTAAGAGGAGTCTTGGCGGAGAGGTGGTGCAGTCCGGAGCATGTGGACAAGGGCTCCGACGGCCGCATCTTGTGACTTGCGCGTGGAATGAAACATGAGAGTAGCATCGGGAGCATCCTTCCCGTCAGAGGGGTCATTCCTATTGACATTCTCAAAAATTACGAAAGGTAAAGATGGAATAAATGATCTTATAAGTGCTGCAAAATCGATAACAACAACATTGACGACAACAATGATGATGAGGAACTTAAGCATTGTGATCTAGTCATGTAATCTTCGCCTTATGAGATGCACGCAAGTATAAGTGTGACAGATGTGTACATATGAGAGAGAGAAAGAGAGAGAGAGAGAGAGAGAGAGAGAGAGAGAGAGAGAGCGTTTTCTTTGACTGATCTCGACCACACTCCTAGCCAAGTTTTGATAACACTTGAAAGAAAAAGTCATCATTCCTATGGGGTCACTGACGAAGTTTCCTCAAAATCTCAACACATGCTTGTAGACTTTTTAAAGATCTCTTAAAAAAATCTAAATTTTCTCTGTGGTTACAGTTTTTCATATTTGATGAAGAAAGCCACGGAATCCATTGTAGGATTAGCAAGCCCTTTTATTGTCCAGGACAACAGAAGGAACTCCATAAAAGCAAGTTACACAGAGCATCATGCCAATGAACATGCTGAATCAACTGAAATATCCAAAATACTCTGAAAGTGTGCTAAATCTCTTTCATCCTTCTTTTTCCAATTTTGTTTTTTGACAAAAATTTGGTCTCCATTTTAAGGATATTCATCATCCTTGTAGGGACTTCCTGGTCAAAAACGTCAGTGTAGCAACATGGGCTCATCCAGGGCCCCATGAGACTGAGAGGCCTGGGAGTTATTTTACATGGGTATCTCTCACTCTCTGGCCCTTTGTTTCTAAGAGAATGGCAAAGGCAAACCAGGTCATGTGCACGCCTATACAAAGTCAAAAGTCATTTAGTTTGTCAAGGTTCTTTAATATTCTTATACAAAATTATGCAGGAGGCATGAGAGATATCAAATTCTAATCTCATTAGCGAGCCAAAAGGTGAATCCATTATACAAAATCATGTGGGAGACATGAGAGAGATCGAATTCTAATCTCATTAACAAGATAAAAGGTGAATTCTGTGACCAAAAGCATTTGAGAAATGGTGTTTGTATCCATATCAGGACACTCTTAGGTTTTAGGCAATGGAAATTTCTTCTCCACTAGACACGCTTGACTTGATGAAATAGTTCAAATCTTGATCTGTGTATTTCACTTTATGCATAACGAATTTCCGTAATTCCTTTGTGAAGACAGTGAAAGGAAACCTCGGAAGCCAATGTTACAAGTTGCTGGTTCATGCCAACATCAAGAGTTTATATCATCATCCTATAAAACAGATAGTTTGGAAACCATGGGTGAAACTGAACATCACAACAAAACAACCAAGATCCAATGGAGTTTACATATGTTTTTAAAACCTGATCACCTTCTTGACGGATCTTCCTTGTCTCTTTGTGCATTGGTACTCTTTCTGGGCGTCGAGATTTAAGCACTCGCAACCTCATGGCTGCTTCTTTGATAAGAAGGAACTAAAAGAACTATTTCTGAGCACAAATCCCCGAGCCTTTATAGAAATGGCCCGAGAATTCTTGCTGAATCGCATGTGGAACTTGTTCTTGTGTAGAGAGCGAAAGCAAGACGAGGGAGAGAAGGTACGTGGGAGGGAGAGAAGGTACGTGGGAGTTCTCGAGAGATGGACATGAGACACTTCCTTTGGGTTTGTATTAAGCTCCTATTACAAAAAAAAGGAATCTCTAATTCCTCTCTCGCAAAAAAAGGAATATCTACGCTCTCTTTCTCTGAACTCCCTTATACAGAGAAGCTCCCTTCAAAGATCACCTATAACATTAGTTATCTTTTCAAATTAGATCCCTCTTATGGATCCATCTTCACAATTTAAGAGATTTTTTTCCAGCCAACCTTATTTAAAAATAACCACCTAATCCCTTAGCACACCTTTCTCTCTCTACCATTACAAAAGTTGCCAATTCCATGGAAGTGCTCCCACCAACAAGGGGTGGGCTGCTAAACCAACAGGTCTCACTCATCCTATAGTCAATGTACATAAAGACATCAATTCCTCATTATCAACCACCATTACATTACAAAGCAAGATCCCCCTCCCATACACTCTCTGGGAAATGTGTCGTGAGACCATAAGAAGCAGTTGCATATTCGCAAAGAGAACCACATAAGTTACCATCAAACCAACGTAGAACATATCTCTCTTATCCCAAATTGCTCTAACTAGCTCTAGACACTCTTGACCACACTAGATTGAGTATCTCAAATAATCCCTCACGAGCTTTCAATGCTCAAGAGACTACTCTACCTTTCCAGCACAAGACAAGAAATTCATTTGCAAATCATATTTGCAAATCATAGAACATATTATGATAATTTTGCAAAACATTTTTCCAATGTACTCTATGCTTCTTATATCAAGAGCATTGAGTGCACACAGAGAAAAATGATCTAACCAAATCGAAACTACAAAAAACAGATACCCATGCCCACCACATCCTCAGCAGCATTGTTTCCCATGAAGATCTTCATGCCTACCATTGGAACTGAGTGAAGCTCCATGAACTCGTATGCACCCTTGCTTCTTTTCGTCACTTTTGAATCCATATTCCATCCATTAGAAATAAGATTAGGAACCAGCACCTTAGTGCAAACACCAGCAAAGATTATGTAATGAACGATTTGCACCTGCTTTGAATTAGAGCACTCAAGAGCTATGTGATCGATCTTCTTGCAATTGCAGCAAGTCAAGGCTGACTTATCACTGGAAGCACTGCACTTGCTTCCACTTTGCTTATTGTTTGTAACTTCAATTTCTCTTTCCTCAAGAGATTCTTGCCCGTATGCTTTGCCTTCCTTGGCTTTCCTACCACACTTAAGTTTATCTAGCTTGGAAAACATGGCAATGCCGCTAACACTGACAAAGCGATGCTCTACCTCTAGCTCAACATCTAACTTCATATGATGAGATAACTGATTAGAAGTCTTGACACTCATTCTTTGTCATTAGTATCTTCATCCGTTCTCAGGATGGAAGTTATCAGACCACAACCAGTATAGTTGTCCATCACTGACAACATTGCCAACAACCCTCAAGTCACAATTCACTTTTCTTTTTTTATTGGAAAATGTATGACACTTTTGAAAATGTATGAATCATCTATGACATTTTCTTCAGATGCTTCATCATGAAGACATTTTGACAGCATTTTGTACGTCTCATACCAACGTGAGTGTATGTAATCTCGTGATTGAAGTGCCAGGAAACTGGAGCTACAATGCATGCCACATCTCCTCAATTCATTGGATAGCTTTCAAACTGCTTAATTAGGTCATTGTGTATGTTATTCGGTACAGTAAAACATGCACAATGATCCTTATTAAGCCATGTATGATAAGTCTCTATCCCAAAACAAGTGTGGACCACAGTCCCTTCCTCAATGGGATATATGTTGATGGTCAAATGTTCAAGTACAGCTTGCTCATCAAGTAGGTATTGGATTTTATGATGCCACATATCATAATTTCTACCATCCAATCTGTCCCCTCCAAAGAGGTCGGCAATCACATTCTTTGATGCTATCACAATCTATGCTCATCAAATAATTAAAAAAATTCACAGTTTATGGCATGGGTGATAAAGTTTGTTCACACATGATTACACGTGTACCATTGTATCTAGCACTTGCTTGAGACTTCAGGGGTTGGGATAGATAAACTTCAAACTTCCAAAACAACTAGAAACAAAAAAATTGCACAGCCTTATCCAGTGCTAGTAATCAGAATAGAGTGAAGATTTGGAAGCTAAACTTCTTAATCTTCATCATCAAGTGAGCGTTTGTATCCCTGATGCAATATCCGACTATTAGATGTAATCTAATAATGGTTAATGCCCATAGTGACTCTCTCAAAATCAAATTGTCGACGCACTACGGGTACACACCTAGTATGAAAGGTACCGGAAGAAAACTTTCAGAGCTAAATTTAGGGTTGTGGGAGTGCAATTAGCACGCAAGACTCCACTAGTTCAATTCTACCACTCGAGCTACCCCAAAAACATATATTACATGAAAGAATCTAATGCCCAAACAAAAAGTTTTGCAATTATGAAAATTGAGCCAAATTTGCATATTCTGAAGCTGCACACAGTAACTAAGACGTGCGGTCGTACTCTGTGACCAGTCACCAGACAGCTTACATGAAAATAAGGTGATACATCCTACCACACTCATATCATTTGGCTAGGCTACGACCACACTAGGGTGGCTTCAAACTTGTTATACAGCCACATCCATGCAACTACTAGTCGCACTTGTGAGGTTATATAGCCCTTGCAATTGCATGCCTCAACATATTTGTGCAGCTGTGCCCAGTGATCCAAAAATGCGAGGTGACACCTAGGCGGCTGGGGGGTCACCCCTTGCCCCCTTTTGAACCTAAACCTAGGAGGCCTAGATTCAAATGATGGCAAGGGGTGTCCAGTAATCTAGATTTTGTATTAAAAATTCACATCTATGCATTTTTTATGATCACAAAAAACATTAAAAAAATAACCTAACTGATAGGTAGTTTTACACCTAGGCGCACTGTGGGACAGCCCGCCTAGTTGGTCCATCTAGGCCTAAGCGATGTGCCCAAGGCCCCATAGCGACCTAGGCGCTCAGTGGACCGCTAATTGAATCAATGGTTGTGGCTGCATGAGATTCTGCAGCTAACAACCGAACCCTTTGTGTGGCTGCAGCCACACATGACCCGAATGGGCGGCCCTACAATGCTGCCGCGCAACTTTATTGCAGCCTAATATATGGCTTGTACGGCTGTCATCACACCTGTGACCACGCGGTTGTGGGTCCACTTGCCTGCAACTCGAGTGTAATCCGTGGCAAGCATAAGTGCACATCCCTACATGTGTGCCACCATGTACGTGCGTGTGCACGAGCTGAACGAAGTGCATGAGCGCAGAACAAAGCATGCTCCATGTGTGTCAGTATCAGGACAGAAAAACAACTACGCCCGTTGTACATAGTGCTTTGTGGCCACTCAATT